CTCGAGTGAGACAGGAACATGGCGGCGCTGTCAGCCCGGTCCCCATCACTGCCCCTCCTGCCGCCCGCCTCTCACTCCGCCGGGCACCGCCTGGCCCCGCAACGCCCCCTCCCGTCACTTCCCTCGCGCCTGTCCTCTCCTGTCCCTTCACTCCCCTCCTCAGTCCCCTCGTCTCCACTGCCCTTCTCACAGTCCCCTCCTGTCCCCTCACTGCCTTCCTCGGTCCCTTTTTGTCCCCTCCTGTCCCCTCACTCCTCTCCTCGGTCCCCTCTTGTCCCCTCACTGCCTTCTTCAGTCCTCTCCTGTCCCCTCCTGTCCCCTCACTACCCTCCTCAGTCCCCTCCTGTCCCCTCACTGCCTTCCTCAGTGCCTTTTTGTCCCCTCCTGTCCCCTCACTCCTCTCCTCAGTCCCCTCCTGTCCCCTTCTGTCCTCTCACTAACCCTCCTCAGTCCCCTCTATGTCCCCTCACTGCCTTCCTTGGTCCCTTTTTGTCCCCTCCTGTCCCCTCACTCCTCTCCTCAGTCCCCTCCTGTCCCCTTCTGTCCTCTCACTAACCCTCCTCAGTCCCCTCTATGTCCCCTCACTGCCTTCCTTGGTCCCTTTTTGTCCCCTCCTGTCCTCTCACTGCTCTCTTCTCAGTCCTTTCCTGTCCCTTCCTGTCCCCTCACTACCCTCCTCAGTCCCCTCTTGTCCCCCATCCCTCCTCACAATCCCCTCTTGTCCCCTCCTGTCCCCCATTGCCCTCCTCAGTCCCCTCCTGTCCCCCACTGCCCTCCTCACATCTCCTCCTGCCCCCATTTTGTCACTTCACTCCCCTTTCCTGCCACCCTGCTGTCCCCACACCATCACCCCGCTGCTGCCCCACTGCCGGGAGGGCAGGCGCAGTGGGACCCCCACCCTAGGGCAGGCGAGAACTAGGGGGTGCCCGGTCACAGCGGTGGGGCCTCCATGGAGCCTCCATGGCACCCTCACCACAAAAAGCCCCTTACCTGCCTGCAGAAGGTGGTCCCCTGGGCAATGTCACTGCAGATGGGTGGCGGTGGCCGTCCCCAGCCCCACAGCTGTTGTGGGGCCAGGGGAGGGCGTACAGAATTAACAAATTCCCCAAATGGCTTCTCCCTGCTTCCCCATTTAGCACTGAGGGAGGCAAATGGCTGGCAGCTGCCCAAAGGACCGCGACCCCCCCCCCAACCCTCACCGGCACCTGTGGGACCAGGAGGGAGAACGTCTTGAAGAAGGGAGGTTTCTGGGGAAAAGCAGCAAATGCAAACGTTTCGGAGAGTTGAAAGGAAAAATAGCGGCAAGGTCACTCCAGCCTGGGGCAGGCAGCGAGGGCAGGGGACCAGACCCCTGGGTGGCTGCAGGTGGGGTTTGGGGAGCAGGATGCCCCCCTTCCCCAAGGCATCATCAACTCTTCATCCCACCAGCACCTGGTGCCCACCCAGAGACAGCTCCAAAACTTGGGGAACACAAAACTTAGGGGCTGCAGGATGCCCCGGGCACCTTCCCTGGGGTGGGCAAGAGCAGAGACCCCTCTCATGAAGACCCAGGGCTTTCTGTCTGCCCCAGGGCTGAGTGGGTGCCATGAAAGTGCCCCAATTCCCTCCTCCCCCCTGGAAAAAAAAACCATGAGATGGGAGGAGGATTTAAATTAAGCCAGGGATTATAGTAATACCAGCCTGGGTGATCTGTTGGAGGAGACGGGGAGCAAGGGAAGCAGAGGGGGGTGCGGAGGGGGTGGCGGGATGGGGGCTCGAGGGTGCAGGATGCTGGCAGCATGGCACCAGGGGTGCCCGGGGAATATGGGGGTGCTCCTTGGGCAATCATTTGGGGCACCCACGTCCATGCTAGGGTGCTGCTGGTCCCGGTGACAGACCCAGCCCCACCACTGACCAGGGCTCGCTCCCAACCAGTCCAGGTCCCCGTGCCAGCCATGCCATGAGCTGCCGAGCATGGCACACCCCCCTGCCAGCTCCCTTCACCTGGCAGCCGTTTAATCCCATTATTCGTCATTACTTATTTATCAGAGATCTAATTTAGCACGTAAGAATACCGAGGCCAGGAGGGGTGAGACACCTCCTGAATGAGACAGATCCACCAGGGCAGACCCTGCGAAGGCAAGAGATGCTCTGCAGCAGCACTGTGCCGTGTCCTGACATCCTGGACCACCCCTGGTAGGGCTGGCAAACACCAAAGCCTCAGGAGATGCTGCTTGTAGAGCTTAGGGGGGTGGGGGCAACATGTCCAAGGACATGGCCAAGGACACCACAGGGCAGGTGGCCACATCTGACCGTGCTGGTGCTCAAGGGGCCCACATGTTGCCCTGGGCTGAGCCACAGGCACCAGGAGTTGTTGGAGGGCAACCTGCTCATCTGAGCAGGGATGTGCCTGGGCAGGTTTGGTTCCTGGTGGCTGTGCAGCTTGGCTGCCTCCCCTGAGCTGGGTGACAACCTATCTGGCAGCCTGTAGTGGGCTGACAACCTGTAGTGGGTTGATCCTGGCTGGTGGCCCGGTGCCCACCAAGCTGTTCTATCACTTCCCTCCTCAGCATGATGGGGGGGGAGAGAAAATAAGATGGGAAAAAAACCTCATGGGTCAAGAAAAAGACAGTTTAGTAAAGCAAAAGCAAAGGTCACACAGGGAAACTAAGGAAAACAAAAGATTTATTCTCTACTTCCCATCCACAGGCGATGTCCAGCCACTTCCTGGGAAGCAGGGCTTCAGTACACGTAGCAGTTGCTCTGGAAGACAAATGTTAAAATAACAGACACCCCCCACCTTTCCAGCTACCAATAGAAAGCACAGAACTCTGTGGGCTGCTAGGGAGAAAATTAAGTCCATCTCAGTGAGACCCAATACCATCTCCACCCTTTATTCCATACCATTTGTGTCATGCTCAGGCTCCACGTGATTTAATACAAGTATGTGTCTTCCAACCATCCCCTTGTATTTAGCTCTCATTCCTGAAATCCTTTCTTACCAACACCTACAATTTATATTACATACTTAGTCCGTCTTTACACCTAACCTACCGATTTATACATTCTCATTAGTGCCACAGAGAGGCATTATTCTCCCATTCCATGGGCTTCCTCCACTCCTCCAAATGTTCAGAAGAACAGGCTATGACTCGGGCCCCGTCTGTCAAGAGGGGTGCTCAGGACAGGACATGCAGTAGGTTCAGCTGTTGGGCACCAACACCGACCTGGTTTGGGTCATCCTTGCACTCGTACAGTTCTTGCAAAACTCACTCTTTGTTGGTTCAGGTTGTTCCTGCATTACTTCCTACAACACACCACTCAGATCACAGATTATTTCCCCCCCTCAAGGCGGGGGAAATCTCCTTGAGGCACACACTGGGTGTTTCCCCATCCTTCAGCGTTACCCAACACCACCACCCAGCTCCCTACCTGTTCCTTGTTTTGGTGTTTTTCAGTGGCGCCGCTCTCAGACACGTGAGGACCAACATGACACACCTTTAGAGAGATGTTTTCTACCCAGGCGGTGATGTCCTACCACAACGCAGCAGCCTGGATGAGTTTACCCCTGCGCTGCCAGTTGGTCTTCCACTACTGCAGCCACTCTCATAGAGCATTAGCCACCACCCAGGAATCAGTGGACAGATAGAGTACTGGCCACATTTCTTCCTCAGCAATTTCCAGCGCTAGGTGGATGGCTTTCACTTCTGCAAACTGACTTGACTCACCTTCTCCTTCAGTGGCTTCAAGAACTTGTCGTGTGGGACTCTAGTGGGAGGCGTCCCTGCCCATGGCAGGGGGGTTGGAACTAGATGATCTTTAAGGTCCCTTCCAACCCAAACCATTCTTTGATTCTATGATTCTCTGACTCTTCACAGTAGGTTTCCACTTCTGATGGTTTCCTACAACGTGACAGAATCCATCACAGTAGGTTTCCACTTCCGATGGTTTCCTACAACGTGACAGAATCCATCAGTAAGCAAAGCGTAACGCCTTTTATCTTCTGATAACTCATTATATGGTAGTGCCTCTTGGGCATGAGCCACCTGCTTGGGCAATGCTCCAAAATCTCTGCTTTTTGGGCAGTCCATGCTCTCTTCCAGGATTCCTGGGTGGTTGGGTTTCCCCAGCTGAGCTCGTTGCGTGATCAACACAACCCACTTATTCCATGTAGCGCTGGTTGCATGATGAGCAGAGGGGGTGTTCCCTTGAACACCCAGAGTAGCACGGGTAATCGTGGTGCCAAGAGATACACTTCTGTACCAACAACTTCTGAAGTGGTTCAAACCCCCTCATATGCTGCTAGTATTTCTTTTTCAGTCGGGGTGTAGTTGGCTTCTTCTGATCTTTGAGACCTCTGGCTCCAAAACCTTAATGGTTGACCTCAGGTTTCTCCTGATGTTTTCTGCCAGAGGCTCCAGGTGACACCATGCTCCCCAACCGCAGCGTAGAGTACATTTTGCACAGCTGGTCCTGTCTGGACATGCCCAAGAGCTACCTCACAGTCCTCTGATGGTAGTGAGCTGTGGCTCAGTGTAGGGATGGCCCAAGCCCCAGTACAGTGCTAGAAGCTGCTGGTTTCCACTGGGGTAGGCAAGGCACCCTTCTGTCGGGTGGCACGTCAGTTTGCCAAGGTTACTTGTCTGTTCAGGTGTAAAGTCCCAGGTGATGGGAGGTGACAACTTGCCCGAGGGACCTGCCCAAGTCCTTCCAC